TGCATGGCGCCAATTGTGCCAATGAAATATAATTGATGAAATGTTATCGCCGATAAAAACTATAATATTTAATATAATACTTTTTAGCAGACTATTTAGTTAAAAAATTTCCGGACAAAATTTCTAACTGTTGATTGATTTTTGTTCGGAAAAATTGTATATATATAGGCCTATATTTTAATTATATTTTAGAAATTTCTTAAATGATTTAATAAAAGTTATCAGATTGCGTTGATAATAATTATTATCTCAAATTCTGTTTTAATTAATCATTAAATATACATCATATTATATTACAAAGGTGGAACACATTTTTAAGAAAAAGGTAATATATGGTACATCTTATTGTAAAAGAATTATTCAGTACAAATATTTTATTGCAGATTATATAAGTGGATATATTCAGTATTCGTGTGCAAATATGTACAGATATTATATTTGAATACATACCCTTTCTGCAGAGAAAAATATTAAACATTGTTTCTTAACAGATTTACAGAAGCAAAAAAGTTCCTTATCTATGGCCCTAATACATGGATTTTAATACAAATGGATTGGACAAAAGTAGATTAATTTACATCAATATAAACAATTAATATGAATTAATAAAGATATACAGTAATCAATTATTAAAATAAGATGTGATGAATTAGTAAAGAAGTTGTGAAACAGTTCTCGAGTTAAACTGAGAATCTGAATGGATCAAAGAACGGACCCAAAATCTTTTCTTACATAGAAGAAGCATCGTCAATAAGTTATTTTCAAATTCCACGTTTACTCGAACTATTAAAAAATTGTATTTTTACTTTCCTATCTGTTTTAATTAGTATGTATATAACATGGGATGTATTGTAATCATTTCAAATCTCGACGTTTTGAATCGAAAAAGATCGAAATTTAGACGTTTAGTTTAATATATCAGGATTAAACGTATTTAAGGGTCATTGATACTATTAATTTTTGGAGTATGGAACTCAACGGAGTGAGGAAATAGAGGTCATAGGTCATATTTCGAGTGGGATCGAAGACTTAATGAAACTTTTACTTCCCATTGGCACTTACAATTTTTAAAAAACTTGTCTATACCCATAAAATTATGCTTTTTTGTCTTTTTATAATGAAAATAATATAAAAGTTTTCTGTAATAATATCTCATAACAGATGGCACCACACACAACTTTCTTTTTAACTTTTAGTGTCATAGTGTTTTCTAAACTTAAATATTTTTTTTTAAAAACGAAGATTGTTATCACAATTCAACAGAATTGTTCCTTTTAAGCTTTTGTTATTACTTAAATTTTTTTTATCCTAGTATAATTCAAAATTATCGGTCTTGCTGGACTTCTTAACCCCAAGTTTGAGTGCCGGGAAAGTCTAGCAACTTGTAGTTTAAACTAATTGTTGTCATAAACTTACATATTACACAAGCATTTAATATATAATTTAAACACTTAACACCAGTGCATTTTCTAGCGTGCATCTGGACACAAAATGTGTAACAGGAATTTTGAATTGTGCAGTAATAAATGTTCGATTCTAAGTTTTGTATTTCTTCTGGTTCTGTTAAAGTTAAAATGTTTACCTAAATTAATCAGTGTGAGGTAAAACTTGTCCATACGGAACCTGAATAAAAAGGAAACCAGCCTAAACGGAAAAAATTCTTCAGAAGGAGCGATTTTCTATGTTAAAAAAAAAACTGTTCAAAACGGAAATTCGCCAAACCAGAAAAATATTCTGTATTACACGGTAAAATTCCGGTTTACACAGGTTTTACTGCATAATTTTTCGGCCCACGGAAAAAAGCACGGAAATGAAATTCTAAATTAATTAAAAATTGACTAATGTGAGGTACCTCNGCCAGCGTGCATTTCTGAATTTTTCAGCGTGACGGAGCGAAAAACGAAATTAATCTACTCTAATTCTTTGCTCTAATTATTATATGAGCAATAGATAAGTGGTACGGATATTTCTACTTCAATATTTCTACTTTAATTACCTATTTTATGGCAATTTTGGAAGCATTTTACTTTCTTCTAGCGGTGGAGAGATTTTTCTTATTCTATTACGGCTTAACGTATAAAAAAAAGGTAAGCTGTGTCATCGTTGACACGTACTAAATGGAAGTATCTGTTGTTTGACTCCCTAAGAAATTAAAGTTTGAATAAATGTATTCTATTTTAAAAAAGAGTAATTTTAAATTTGATATAAACTTCTGGTCTGTTGTTATCTATTAATTTATAATAAATAACTACGAGCCCGCTAGCCTTATTGGATTTGGGACCGGTCGAGCACATTTTCGATTTTTATTCGTTTAATGGGATGTCGTGCATTAATAAATAAAAATCGGAAAGGTGTGTGATGAGTCTGAAATTATAACAATAAGGACGGCTCGGTTATTTATTACTAATTAATATAGTTTTAAGTCTATATCTACTTTATCTTAAAGTTTCCAAAATATAAAGTCATTCAAGTTAGGATGTTTTCTCCTAAATTTGATTTTTGAAATATTAATGAATATACAGGGCAACTGCGGAAACGGAAACGAAAGTTTGACGTAGTTGTTACGTCTCAATTATGACGTCTTGTTGTTCGTAATTGTTTTTATTAATTAATTGATTAATTAGTAAAATTTATAAGTCAAATTTTTTAAGTATTTTTCACTCTGTTAGTTTTGAGTTTTATTTAATTGTAAAATACGTAAATTTCAGCAAAACTTTTAATAATATATTTACGAATATTTTTTTATATCAAGAAATATGATTTTAATAAATAAATTGCTTGATTAGGTAATTTAATCGTATTTGCTTTGTCTCTCCCGAGACAAAATCCTGCGGGCGCCCTTGGATTCCACGGTCCCGACAACCGGATGATCCTTTAACGGAATTAACTTACCTTAAGGGATCTTAGATATATAAGTTTTGTAGCTATAATTTTTTGCAGAATGTTTTAAACAGGTTTCTCTCTACTTATACTATCCTGTCTTCACGAGAGTGAATGATAAACGTGTAAACAAGCAAACACTCCAACTACTGTAAAAAAAACTTGGAGTGTTCCAAATAGTACAGCTCTTATGTATGGCTTTAAGAACTAGAGCGGCCATTTCGTCGTGCATGGTCTGTAGTTGCTTTAATGTAACAACTATTAAAATAAATTTACTCTTATAAAATATCTTTGATTCATAAAATTGTTATTCTAGAAAAGCAAAAAAGAAAAAGAATAAAACAAATCTCGGAAGAAGCAGTTGTCCTTCCTGGTTCCTTCTTGTAACATTGTGCCCTTGATTGAATCTACAGTATTTATAATTTGGATATATGAAAGCATTAAAAAGTTTCCGAATGTCATCCATTTGTAGTTAGAGATCACTTTCGATTATACTTACGATCGAAGATGGTTACAGAATGATCATTAAGAACGATAGAAAACAAAGACACACAATATAGGTAAATTAGGATAGTAATGTCAAGAAACAATCAAGAGAAATTGCAATATTAATATGTAATAATAAATGTCAATAAATTGAATCCCAATAGTAAATGTATGTTTACAAAAATGTGTACCTTTACATTATTTCCGTTTTATGCATGGTAATTCCAGATAACGTACAGATAGCAATTAAAGAACATGTTTATTTAAAAGTAAGGAAGCCATTTCTTAGCAATTATTAACTAAATAAGGTCACAATGGTATACAGTTGAAAAAGTTATGCAAAAACATCTAACCATTTTATTTTCTACAAAATATTCCACGTTTCAATTACTGTATTAAAACTTTGAGCAGCAGAGAAAAGAAAAAAGAAGAAAAAAAAAGAATAGAAAGATTAATGGAAGGATAAATTATTTTTAAAATGTAAATGAACACGTATTGCTAGATGAGGGTATTACGGACAGAAAACAGCTGAAGAATAAGTTTAAGAATATTTTCAAATTTGATTTTTACTTGAGTTCTTACAGAAATAAAAATAAAAATCAAGAATTAATTCAGTTTCAATTATAATTTTGTGATTTGAATTTTCAAGGAAACTACTTCCAATAAGAAAGCATTTTTCCTGAAAATTCAGGAAAATTTCCAACCAAAAATATCCACGAATAAGAGGGAAAACTCTTCTTATCATTCTTCTTTAATGCAAACTTTGCCCTTCTTATTTTGGAAAGGAAAATGATTGGGAAATGAATGGATTAAAACATATCGTTTCAGACCTGTATATATATTAAATTTTAGTTTATTTTGGATAGATTTATAATAATTTAGATGTCGGTCAGATGCTATTGTTGTACTCCTTCAGATGTTTACAACATTAAAAGTACTGTACAGTATGGTCTTATTTCACGCAAAGATTGCACGTTTTACAAGTTCTGTATAAATTTGTTCTCCATTCCAAATATTGTAGTTCCAAACGATTGCCTAGACACTCATTTAGGCAAGACTTGAGCAACTATTTATAATTAACAACAACAAAATGTATTTGTCGCCATCTTCCAGTTGTGGTCTCGGTTTTGTTACATAATGTTAACACAATATTTTATATTTTAGAATTTTAGAGAATTAAAATTTCTAAATGACAGAATAAAATAATAGAGAATACACGGAACATCTAATAAAATAAATATACAAAATTAGGAAAAAACAAGGATATAGTAAATTAGAGAAGTTTAAGTATATTTTTAACGGTTTTAACGCTTAAATAATTAAAATTCAAATTTTAAAATCGGGAATTTATAAATTATGGAATAAAACAAATAAAGAAAATTGGGGAAAACAAAAAAATAAATAAATAAAAGTAAAGGAATTTATATAATTTTCAAATATAAAAATCTAAACTCTTCTACATTTTCTAATATCGAATATATTGCAGGCAGCTTCAAAATTTCTATTAAAAAAAATAATAATAATAAATTTTTAAATTTACTTTTTTGGATGGGGAAATTTCTACGAAAACTACCGGAAACCTTAAAATGACGGATTTTCCTCTGACGTCAATCGCGACATTGGCGCCATCTTCGGGAAATTTCAAACGCGGGATGGAGAGGAAGCTGGGCTGCTTATCGGCCCCGCTACATCCCTACTCATTTAAGTGATGGGAAATCGTTTTCCGCATCTAAATTACATCGAAGACGTAGACGATCGTTTGTTATGGTGAGATTTCATTTTATATTCCCTACTTTTTAATTCTATTCTCATTTCATTCGTTAGGAACTAAACAATACTTCTCTATTACCAATGATTTCTTATTAATGCATCGCTCGGGTTAGCGTAAATACTTATATACGCCGAATTATACGATATTTTCCGATAAATAAAGTTCATATACTCTGTTACTAGTATAATCTCCGGTTATTTATCAAGTGTTACGAAAGCAAAACGTGAGAATTGATATGCAATTTGAAGTTTGAGTTGCGATAGTTTTGGATAAGAAACCTGCCAGCGTGCATTTCTGAATTTTTCAGCGTGACGGAGCGAAAAACGAAATTAATCTACTCTAATTCTTTGCTCTAATTATTATATGAGCAATAGATAAGTGGTACGGATATTTCTACTTCAATATTTCTACTTTAATTACCTATTTTATGGCAATTTTGGAAGCATTTTACTTTCTTCTAGCGGTGGAGAGATTTTTCTTATTCTATTACGGCTTAACGTATAAAAAAAAGGTAAGCTGTGTCATCGTTGACACGTACTAAATGGAAGTATCTGTTGTTTGACTCCCTAAGAAATTAAAGTTTGAATAAATGTATTCTATTTTAAAAAAGAGTAATTTTAAATTTGATATAAACTTCTGGTCTGTTGTTATCTATTAATTTATAATAAATAACTACGAGCCCGCTAGCCTTATTGGATTTGGGACCGGTCGAGCACATTTTCGATTTTTATTCGTTTAATGGGATGTCGTGCATTAATAAATAAAAATCGGAAAGGTGTGTGATGAGTCTGAAATTATAACAATAAGGACGGCTCGGTTATTTATTACTAATTAATATAGTTTTAAGTCTATATCTACTTTATCTTAAAGTTTCCAAAATATAAAGTCATTCAAGTTAGGATGTTTTCTCCTAAATTTGATTTTTGAAATATTAATGAATATACAGTACATTTCATATGGATATTTTTTTTTATTTAATTAGATTATTACAGAAATATTATAGTTTGTGAATTTAGTGGAAAATATGTATGAATCAAAATACAGTTTTTTAAAAATTTATTAAAAATCTGTCTTGGAGATTACAACTTTTAATAAATATTTAGATGTTTAAAGTTGATTTAAAGTAGTAATGGTATGACCTAATCTAAATTATGATGATCCTAAATATTTGAATGATAAGCAGTTTTGAGGATAATGATAACATATACATTGTGAACAGTGTGCAAAGTAAATATAAATATGCAAAAATGTTAAAATTTTTACACTAAACAGCAAATACTTTACAGTTTCATTATCGTAAATACTTTGGTCTATAAATGCATATTTTAGTTACTAGAGTCAATGTTTTTATCACATTCAATTCTGTGCTCCCTGGGAAGCCTGATTAACACCAGGCAGATGTGACTAGTTTTGGATAAAATATGAATAATTAGTAACTATATTTGCTTCTGCGTGCTGTATTGCATTTTGTTAATATTTTGGAATTAAGATGTGTGTAAGTGTATTTAGGTTTGTAAAGGGGCACTAGGAAAATGGATATTTTCCTGTAGCTAAATTTAAAAACATTTACATGTATATCTTTATATATTTATTTCAAAAAGAAAAGATGTTTTTTTATATTTTATTACTTAGAAATAAATTGAAACTGGAACAATGTAAATACTAATCATCTCAGTGACCTTAGTTTTATTTCATTCAAGTGGGCTAGCTTTAAGTTAGGCCAGCTGTTCAAAACATTTTGTTGTTTATAAGATAATATTGGAATAAGACTAAGTTTGCTGAGGTGATTAATAGTTATATTTTATTTTTAATTTTAGCATATGCCTCCTCTGCTCATCTGAATGTGTGTGTTATTATATACTTATGTACATTTTCTTGATATTAAATTTTAGTGTAGTCAATTACTATTTATATTTTATTTGAAAATAACAAATATAGAATTTAAAAATTTTTTATAATAATAAATTAATAATTTTAAATTGTTAAAAGTATTTTATAAAGTATAATTTATATATAAACTAAGCTCAACAGCTTATAGTAGTAAACAAATAATACCACTGGATTTTAATTGGACTATAATATGATTAACAGTACAATAATTACAACAGTATTATGTAATCTGGACTAAAGGTAGGCAGTTAAGCTGCATATTGTGCTAAATTTAATAATTAGAAATAAAGTAATTAATTTAGAATACTCTGGAAGAAAAGATTGATTTCAAATGGGACTCTAACCTGCAAATCCTCATTACCATGCTGATGTGATGCCATATTATAGCCCAATTAAAATTGTGTGATGTTAGTTATTAGTAATACTATAATAACTAGTATAATAAAATAGTAAATTTTGTTATAAATTCTTCACAAGTACTTAAAAACAGCAATTTAATATATATTGGTAAAAATTTATACTGCAGTCAAAAATAAAATGATTCAGCATAAGGAAAATAGTAGAAACATTTTTGTATTCATTTCAATTGATATATATGGAAGTTTCATTGAAAGAGCTGTGCTCTGCTGGAGTGCAGCTCTGAATGTGTGCAGTTTGATGATGTGTAAGTTCTCCAAATGAAACAGTTCTGTTTTCAATTTGAATATTGGACGTTTTGTATGTCTAACAGATAGCTGACCAATAATTTTTTGCAAAAAGATTTTTTGTTTATAATTAGGTTTCTGATATCAAATACATTTACTATAATTTGCTATCCATTTACTATAGGTAAGATATAAATGTTTAAACTTTTCAGTATTTTAATATCCCAATACAGAGAAAGCATAAATGAAGTCTCAGTGCATTCAAAACAACTATGAAATATAGAATAGTTTGCTTAATAAGTTTGTACCATTATTTTTGGGCTGTTATGTAATACTTAAAAATTCACATATCAAAATATAGCACAAGTTACTTAATAATTATTAAATAATTGTAATTAAAAATATACACTGAAACAAAAGTAACTTTAATATTCTAATTTCTTGATTTTCTTAAAAATTTGTTTGTAAAGCCAAACTATATAGTTAGTTTGCTCTTTTTTTGATGAGGCATGAGAGCTCTTAGTCATGCTGAAACTGGTCTTCATCCCTAAACCAGTACTCTCCAATTATCTTCATCATCTCTGCATTTCTCAATTTCTTTATTCCTGTCTTTATTGCCTTGCCATAATTATAGTATTTCCAGTGGTCTTCTTATAAATTATGTCTGCATTTTTCTTGAAATTTTTACTCTCCCTCCCCCATTGTTCCAGTTTGTCTAAGTTTCCATAACCCCGTCTCTCTTCAGATGTCCAACAAAACTAAACCTTTCTCAAAATCTTGATCAATTTGTGAATAATAAAATGCATAAAATTTAATGAAATAAAACAGATGTTCATTGAAGTTCATTCCATCCCTCCTTTCCAGTGTGGACATTATTTATGGACAGCCCCTTATTTGATATACCTTTTAATATTTCTTTGGTTCACTCAGTGATGGCTCACCATAAAATCTGGAATATTTTAATGGGCCATTTGTTTGATAACATACATTAAAATAAGGAATGGTTATGTTTCACTTGAGAAAAATAAATTAATATACAAAATACAACCACTATCCATTAAATTAAAAAACAATTTTTTTCTAATTTAGGCCATAAGTTGCCATGGCCCATATGACTAGACATATTGCTCACAGCAGACAGTCTATTACTGAAAATTTTTGAATGACTGGCTCCAATTTGGATGTTGGATGCTATGGAATGGTTCATGCAAACTGAAATTCAGTCCAACACAATGTGTATTTTGTAATTTTTAATTTGATGATAACTGATCAAACTCAGGAGGCTACAGGCAGACATGATTTTTTTAACTCCACCCTATGGGCATTGAGGGCCATTTTTAAGTTTATTGTAATTTTTGCCAGGCAGCTGGGTGGTGAGGGTCAGGACCTGATCACCCCAAAAAAAATTTTTTTGACTACCTAGTTCTGATTCTGGGTCTCATGGAGTAGTAAATAGGCTGAAACCTTAACTGCCTCAGCTTCAGTTATCTGATCAGCAAGATTTATATATATATAAATGATTCAGTATAATATTATTACTTTTAGCTATTTTGTAATAATGAGTAATTACTATAAAAATCTTTATTATCAGTGGATCCAGTATTGAACTGGCAACTAAATTTCAGCCCAGGATACTACTAATAAAAATGTTTACCGTAATAATGGTTATTATAAACTAGCTAAAAGTTTTAATTATTTTTGCAGTTATAATATTGTATTAAACCATTTTTAATTAAAGATAATTTCCCATATCTTTTCAGTCAAAATTACTTAAAGTCAAAATCAGTTTTGCAATGCCACATAGTTTGTATCTTATGAGCAGAAAGTGTTTTTTGAAGAATTTGGACAATCTAAATAAATTTAGTGTAACTTTTTATTTTTGATTTAGAATAATTATTCACATTTAAAAAGTTATACTTTAGTTTTCATCATGTACTTTTTTTTATAAGAGATTCTTCATTTAATTTTTATGAAATAGATAGTTGGAACAATTTTAAGATTTAAGTTACATTAATTATTTAGAGTATCTTAAATTTGATTTTAACCACACCCAAAACTGACTGAACACTAACTTTTTTTTTTTTTCTGAAAATTTAGTATTTGAGTATATGGTAATAAAAAATAAAACAGTGTGTCATAAATGCAATTTCGGTTAGTAATAAACAAACTAAATAAAATGGTATTTGATGGAAGAAATGTTAAGGTTACAATGATTTTTCTGGAGTTGAGCCAAAGTCATTGCCATTTGGCATTGACTTTGGCTCACTTCCAGGATGAAAAAACTTTGTTCATAATGTAGGAACATATTCACTTGATTTTGTAGAAACTTTGGCAAGACAGCTTGAAAACATGCTGTATCCAGATCATTATATTTTCTGAATCTAACAGAATAAATTGCATTTAAGCACTCAGTCATGAAAATATGTTACTTTTTGTGGATGAAGGAGCAAAAATAAATATGTTCTGTATATATATGTATATGTGCATGCATGCACATGCATAGACTTAAATCAGTATAGAACAGTATGGGCCTTCTATCTTTGCCATAATCCTTTTGATTTATTACATTTTTTTCTCCCTTTATGCATTTGAAATTGTTAAATTTAAATTTGTTTTCTAGTTTAATAAAAAATTATAGCTCGGACAATACTGCTAGCTATGAAACTGTTATTTCCTGATGGTGTACAAAAAGGGACTAAGAGTAAAGAACACTTTTAAAGTTTATGCAATGAAAATTTTTAAAAAATGTTTTAAGTTTATGATTTTGCATTTTACATACAGCTACTATGTAACTGGAGAAACAATCCAAGTAAAACACCCAAACTCCAGCAGTAATGTAAAAAATTAACACTAGTGCTAAATTTTAAATAATCATTCTATAGAGTTAAATGTTAAACAATTGTTCTATTTTCAGGCTGCCACTGTTATTTGTTCATCTGTCTTTCCTTAATCTCAAATACAGAGTTAGATGAAATCTGAGACCAGATATGGAAATCTTAGGGGCAGAAGGCCCCGAAAGTTTCCATATCTATCATAACTATATATGAACTTCTGATGCAAACTGGAAGTCATGTTATTTCAGTTCAAAACTTCCCCTGAAAGCAGTAAGATGATTTGCACAACTTTTGTTAAAGGAAAAGTATGATATACAGGGGCAAGACACTACAGTGCTAATTGAGATGGAGAGCACATATTTTAAATTAAATAAATTAAAAATACCATTAAAAATGCAACCTGTCATTGTGGTTATGTCACAATAAATAATTGTTAGTTAAAAATTAAACATTTACTAGAAGTATCATTCTTCATTCATCACAAGTGTTCTATGTTTGAAAGACTTCAGAACTAAAAGATGAAGACATAAGATCTCCAAAAACATTTGTTCTATAAAGTTAATTTTTCACATCACTGCTTGAGCTTGTGTGTTTACATAACTGTATACTTGCTTACTGGAGAATTCAACTTAAAAATACATAACCGTTTATTTGAAATTCGATTGCGTAATTTTTCAAATTTCCCATTTCGAATTAGAGAAATAACTGATGATGAACGCTCAATGCATTTGAAAATGTTTTTATGTTATTAAAGAATTATGCTGGATAGTTAAATGGTTTTTTATTTTTATGTTTACATAACTTTATGATTTTGTAGTCTCTGTAATTAAAATTTTATTATAAGAGATTGCAGACTGGATTCCAGTGCAGATCTGGGCCTTGGAGTTACAGCTCTTTTTCTTATCAGAATATACGTAGTTATGTAGCCTTGATTTTTTACATGAATTCTCTGTATTTTAATTTAAATATCATCATTATTGTACCTGTATCATATCCTTTTGTGTATACAGGCGTTACTGTTTGAACACTGTATCCTTGCACTAGCAGCTTAGTTATATATGCTAATAGCATCTGATAAAATAGAATAAATTTAGATATTTACTAGTTTTTAAGAGACGGGTGGAAAAAAAGCCAATTCTCAAAGGTTACATTATACAGCAATGAAGAGATCATCTGTATAAAATTTAATGAATTTAATTTGAAATTTATATATAAAAATTCCAGGAATTAAAGAATATAATTTTCTTATTATCAATATAAATATTTGGATTTTCAATGAATTTTTTTTTATAAATTATTAATGTATTTATGCATTTATTGTGTTTACATTTATTATTAAAATGTAGTTTCATCAATTCTTAGGAAATCTACATTAGAATTTAGATGCAGATATAAATTCATAACATTATGAATTTCTGTTTATAATAATTGTAAAATCTGTCCTTTGTTCCAGTTAACTTAAACTAGATTTTATTACAGTTTTATTTGATTTGATCTAACACTTATTATTGTTTTAGATCAAACATTGTGTTGATTTTAACAGCTACTTTGATTTTGTTGTAATATCAATTTATTCTAAAGTTAATCCTATGCTTCTAGCCTGCAAAATCTACATTAAAACCTTTAGATTAACAACATGGCTAAATGAGAAGGCTGATGAGTGGTCTTAGCATCCGAAATGCATTCCCATATCAATAAAGTTTATATCTGATTGTCTTGTGCCTCTTTTTTTTTTTTTGTTTCATTTTGATGTGATAAGTTCTTCCCATTTAGCTGTGTTATTAAGCTATTAGTTTTAATGAGGATCAACTTTGTTTCACGTATACAAATTTGGCCATTGAATGTGCCAGATGCAATCACACAATTCCAAAAGAAACTTAAGGAAACATTCTTGGCAATATAATTTATATTTTTAAATACAACAAAATATGGCTATTTCAGTATTTTAATGCCATAAAATGTGCTATATATGGAAACTTCGAAGTTAATATATTGTATTTAAAATTTATCACATTATCCATGATGCAATATTGAAAGTTTTTAAAAAGTGCACATTTTAAATGGTTCATATTTTGAATAAAATGTTATTCCTTGCATTCTAAGGAGTTTTAGGTTTACAGAAATAAATTTAATATTAATTATAATAATAATAATAAAAAAAGAACTGTTTATTTATAATCAGAATAGATATTTGCAATATTTTGAGTTAAAAACTATTTATATTTTCATGCACTGTATTGTAGAAATACATTTTATTAAATCATTTTGTAATTTATAAAACAGATAAATCCAACTTAAAACAAAAGTTTTACATTCATTTTTATTTTACTTTATCTTCAGTGGAAAGTTTGTTTAATTTCTTGTACATTTCAAATTTTTGATAAGTTATTTCTAATCAATAAAAAAATTCTTAGCGTCTATCTACATGATGTATTTCCTTTTTAAAAACTAAACATTGTAAACATAATGAGCAATGTACCATAGATTTTCTTTAGTTTCTATGATTTTATTATGTAATACTATCTTTTAACATCATATCTATTAGATTTGATGCATTATAATCTTATTTAGAGGTTGAAATTTGTGTGATTTTAGAGAAAATGCTTAAATATCACAAGGCTTTCGTATTTGTCGTAAAAAGTTGGAATATTCCAATCATCAAAGATTCTAATTTTAAATATAGTTTTAAATAACTTACTGCAATTGATGAGCTGAAAAACATTGCCACTTGGTAATTAACTATTTTGCAGAATAAGCATTTAGTTTTATGAATATATTTATGATTATATAATTTTTTATTTTGATAAATTTTTAATATGCTTCAATTCAAATATGTTACTTATGTCATATTTAAATTGAAGATATGTGAAATAAACATGATGCCACATACCTTTACTTTTTGAAAATAATATATAGACTGTTGTAAAATGTCTGTTATATAAATATGAACATCAGATAACAAATTACGTTAAACTTAATTATGTCAAAGATGTAGAAAAAGATAACCTGTATGATATTTGGAGTATAGTAAATATGATAACAATTGAAAGAATGATTATTTAAAACTGCCTAGATAAATGTTGCTATGTGGAAATATTTTAATGCAGTTGGAAAAAGATGTATCACAGGTATTTTGTTCCTAGTAGAATATTAAATCCAAAATGAACAGAGAAATTTGAAATCTGTGAAGACAGACCATAATTTACCAACATAACTGAAAGATGATGATGCATTAATTGCATAAGATGTAAAGAAAACAAGTATAAATATATATTAACTATGTATACAAGTACTTTTTGTGCAAAAAAAATCTGCAAAGTTTTTCTTAATTTCTTTTTCACTGTATTATGTCTTTATTTATTCAACACAAGAAATTTCACAATTCACAATTAGTTGCCTGTAAATAAATTTAACTTTAGCATTTAAAAATATTTTAAGTATTACAGGTAACCCCCGTATAACACGGCACTTCTATAGCACAGATTCACTCTAACATGGTTCAAGAATTGGGAACATCCCCCATATAACATAGCGCTTCTATAGCACGGGTTCACTCTAACACGGTTTGGGAATTGAGTAAAACCCTCATACAACATAAAATGTAATAAAGAGTGTGTTCTTTTATACCTCCGCGTAACTCTGCGCGAGCATTCTAATTGTTTTTGTGGCTACTTTGAATGCTCTTTCAACAAATAATCCATTTAATGGTTAAATTTTACAATTGGGACCCTTCTTTTGCCTCTAAAAGCTCATTTTAGAATTATAGATTTCTCCACACGATACTATCGATAGTGCGGGTGCCGCCATCTTTCTTTCACCATCGTTGCTAAATGCCTACAAACAGCAGGTTGCTCTGGAACGGGAGTGCGTGCTATTAACGAACACACTCACAAACTTACCAATTGATGATGCTCATGCCGAGATCATCATATAGGATGAATAATCCTCTGGTAAAATATTTACTTAAATAATAAATAAATATTTAACCTATAAAAAAATGAATAATAAATCCGATTTAAATAAGGATTTAACAATATGTTTTTTAATTTTTGGAACCTAATCCCCCTTTTTGCACTAGTTCTTTGTTTTGTTTAACACGGATTCGCATAACACGGCAATTTTTTCGAACGTAACTCCCGTATTAAACGGGGGTTACCTGTACTTTAATATTTTTCTATAATTATTAAATTTTGATTTTGTTAGAATTAGTTTATAATAACAATATTAATAAAGTTTAATAACTGAACTTTTCATACTTTTTCTCAGGAAGATAATTTATCAGTTTAATATAGGAGGACTTTTTGTCTTTAGGGTTACTTCAAGTGTTTTTAATTATAATAATTTATCAATAATTTTATATTCAAATCTTTTTTGTTTTTAACAGGCAGGAGATGAGAAGAAAGAAATTACTCAACGTTTCTACAGAGAAGGTTTAGATGTCACTTTACCTGACAGCCAAAAGTTGATTCACATGTGGAGATGGCTAGCAGATGCAGAATCAAATTGTGTTTCTATGCGATATCAGTTGGATAAACTTCATCATCAGCAAAATGAAGAATTAAAAGTATCAATATTTTTAAGAAGTTTCATTATATTTTTATTATAGTTGTCCTATTCTTTCAGTATTTGTTTTTGAAGTAGTTAATAAAATATAAATATTTTTATTAGGAAATAGAAAAATTTGCCGAACATGTGAAGAAACTGGCAAATGAAAGATATCAAGAACTTCAAGAAGAAAATAAGCAGTTAAGGAGAGAATTAGACCAACAGGATAATGAAAATGGAAAGATTGTTAGCAGAGAAATAAGACAGATGATATTGCAGGAAGGTTTAACAGAATTAGCCAATTTGAGTATTTCTGAACTTTTTGCATACTTTTTGGTTGAAAGGAAGAAAATAAAAGAACAACTTGAACAGGAACAAGAGAGAAGATGCAAGAGAGAGCAAGCTGCAAGATTGGCATCCAATCTTCCTGACAGTTTAAAACTATGCTCTCCTGAAATTCAGAAAATACTTGAACAACAAAAGTAAGTAAAGTACATTATTCACTATAAGTAATTCACATGAAATATTATACTGTTATCTTATAAATTAAGTTATATTTGACACTTTTTCTGCAAAATGTATATTAACTATTTATCATTCACATGGTATCTTTGATGTTTTGATTTTAAACTTTGATTTTTTCTATACAACAGGATCAAAATTATAAATATTCTGTCATTCTAAATTAGAATGTAATGAAGAAAAACAAACTAATAAAACTGTGTTTAAAATATCATATTAAATTTATTATTATTATGAAGCATCTAATTAAAATAACAAAATGTAAATAAAAAGTCTTTTAAAGTCTTAAGATTTATAATCATGAAATTTTTTAAATCAGTTAGATCAAATATAAAAATATTATGCTTTAGAGTCATTACACTGTCTGAAGCTAAAGATTTCAGTTAAGAGATCAGAGTTGTTACATTATTATGTATAGATCATTTTAATGATTCTCAATTTTTATATAAAATTAAATGTTTTATTAATTCATTAGTATATAGAAAGTATTAAAAAATTATATCTGTCTACTTTAAGCAAATAAAATAATAGAAGTTTAATTGCTCTTTAAGAATAATAAATAATAAAAACAATAAATTACTTTTTGTAAATGTTTTTCATTACTTGTCAAAAAAATCGGTTTTAATTTTAGATTGTAACTTTTAAGATGCATTTATTTACATATCTCACCTTCTCTCTCCAGTCAATATAATATCTGGTAAGCAATTCCTTAGACGTCTGAAGAGACTAGATTATAGTCAAATTGGAGCAAGGCATACATTTAAAGAGAGTCTAGTGTGTGCAAAGTATCTTCAAATGTGTAATTTTTAACTGATGATAATATTTTAAATGATTTTCTGTTTGATTATTGAAAAATTAGATTGATTTAACTTAAAATTAAAAATTCAAGTGCACTAATTTTAATTTTAAAAAATTCTCTAACGATAGTAAAAAGATGTTACCTTTACATTTACAATTAATGAAATAAATTTATTACTTTGTCATTGCTGTGATTTATAATATATGAATTACAAAGCTATCTTTAAATTATAATTTCATATTATATTCACTTCAAATTAGTAAAAAAAAATGTATAGTTCTAATTTATAATAGTCATTCTAATGTAAAGCTAAAATACAAATAATATATTGCTTTTATATTCATTACCTAATTTAAATTCTGAAAATCTGATGTAAATAATAATGCACAAATTTTAATATTTTCTGTGATTTCATTTCTTATAACATATCTCGAATTTTTCTAACTTTTTCATTATAAAATTGTTTTTTAAATTTATTATTTATAATTACAATTCATTTAGTTAACAAAAAGATACACAAATAATTAAAATGACTTAAATTCTATTAATCTTGTGACTTTTTATTGCATTTTTTTATCTTTAGACTAATTTTATTTAATGAATTGTGTTTCTGAAAATTCCTGTTAAAAACATTATCTAATAAATTAGATAACTAAAATATTTTAAGTATTCTATTTACATAATTCACTAGTAGTTGAGTTAAAACTTTAAAATATAATTTGTTTTCTGGAAACAATATTAAACAACAATTCAACAGTTATTTTCCTAGAAGTTTATATTTTCTTACATTGTTGAACCTTTTGAAAGATTTTGAAGTTAGAAGAGGACTATAAACTTGTTTATTTTTAATAATTAATAATAATAATTAAACAAATTAATGAGGTCTTTTTTTTAAAGTAACTTAACTGTGATATATCAAACAATAATCAGTTTTGATGTGAATATTTATTAGAGATGATTATGAAGAAGAAATAAGACATCAACAAGAGATGATGAGGCATGTCAAAGAACAGTTGAGACAAGTTCATGAAGATGAAATTACACAGTTAGAAACTGAAAAAGAACATCTAACAGTTGAATTAAATAATGCAAAAAGAAAGGTAATAATTCTCATTATGTTAAATGTATAATAATTTATTGTATTGAACAGTAAATAATTTAGTATTTCCTTATTTTAAGTAAAAAAACATGTTAAAAACATTCATGATACATTTTACATGTTATCATATATATTTGCAATCGTTCATTAGTCTCAATTCAAATTATAATTTTTTGGGAACTTTTAATAGCTAAAGTTGCACAAAAATTTATTTGAATATAGATAAACTTTTAAAGTAATATGTAGATTTTTATCTTCTTTTTGAAATTCTTTATTGATGTTCCCTATTTAGAAAATATTGAACAAAGAGTAACATTTTAAAATTTGACTGTGTTCACAAAATAATAATGGTTTGTGTGTAAATTGTTACAGACTTTGGTAATGATTAAATATTAATGAAATAAGATGCAATGATAAGAATTTGAGGTGCTCTTAAAGTTTTACTTGTAATTGTACTATGCTTTGTAAAATTTAACATGTACAGTTGTTTGCAATGTTTACTCATTTGTAAGGATATATATAAGATGATTTAATCACTTGAATGTGGCAATTCCAGCTTAGATATGCTACTGCCTGTGTTGAATTGTATAGATTTCAGAAATTGGAGGCTGCCCTGTTCCTTTCTTTCATTCTTCCTTCAATATATTTGTGTGATGAAACATAAATAATCATAATGGTAACTTTGTGATATATTTGATTGGATTTGGATGCAAATATTTTAATAAACTATTTTATACTTTGTGTTTCACCTATGGAATTGTAATTTCTTGATTATGTAATACAAGAATAGCATTGCAGTGATTTATTTAGAAGCATACTGAATTGTATATATTAAACTTTGAGAAACTTTGCTTTTGTAAACTAGAATCTATGTTGTTATAACTCTTTTTATAATTTGTTTTCTTTAAAGAATGAAATTTAAAGATTTTATTTTATATACAATCGTTATTAGAATAGTCACAATATGTCAATATATTTTATAAGTAAACATTTATTATTTTTAAATTTTTTAAATTTTAGATAGAAGAATTGGTTAGACAAGTGGCAAAGAAAGATTCTCATGAAGATTTAGAAGAATCCTGGATACATCATATATTGGTAAATATTCTTTTATCTATAAAAGTAATGTCTATTATTTAACACATCAACTGCCCATTATGAGTTATCTCAAAGTTGGCAATTTAACCACTGGTGCCATCTATGAAATAACTCGTATAGTGTTGTCTGACTAGTTTTTGCCTCATACAACTTTTCTCATAGTAAGTACTTGTTATAATTGATAGTGGGTGTTGAGAATAAGCACCATACATCGATAGGGCATTATACAACAAACTATAAAGAAGTTTAAAATGCAATACAATTTTCCTGTTTACAGATTGCCAGATACATATATTATCTTAGTAATATACTACAAAAGAGGCTAATATGTACCTTGAATATGAATGACAAATCAATTTTGTGTCATAAAAGGAAAAGTTTTTGAAGAAATATTGAAAAATATTTTTTTAAATATTATTTATTTATATTATTTTATATTACCCAAATCATTATACAGAAGATCCTTGACTTTTGGATGTACATGTTTTTGACAATGTACATTGATACCTTTAACCTGCTTTTCATATGTCACACTTGCATTTTCAAATAAAACAAAAATATTGTATATTTTCAAATAAAACAAAAATTTCAAACTATTGTATAGTAACACTTTATGCTAGTTACAGTAACATAAGCCATTTAAACATTTAATATAACATTTAAAAGAAGCATCCAACTCAATTTAATTATCTAGTCCTCCTCTCTATTTTTTCTATAATTATTAAAAGTCCAAACCTAATAAGAATCCTTCTATGCTGGGATGGATTAGGACTAGTTTCTTATTGCTTAGTAATCTACTGTTAAAACTTAACATAGGAATAATCACCATCTTATCCAACTGAATTGGTGATGTAACAATTTAAATGGCAATTCCCTATCTCTCCTATTTAGCTCTTGAGATATTCTAGCAATAAATACCCTGCTAAACAATTCCACTTTCCTCACTCTACTATATCACTGATATATATATAATAAATATTAAATGTTAATGTAAAAACATTTAATATTTTAAATATTTCATACTTTGTTACATCCAACAAAAGTTTTTGTTTATAGTAAATAAATGAAAACTTTTCTCTCACTAACAATAAATTTTATAGTGTTTGTTTTTAACTCTAGGAATAGGAACTCCTTAACATGCAACTCTATGCTTGACTTTTGGACATTCCACTTTTGTACACATTTTTAGGAATGTGTTAAATCTGAAATTTGAGGACTGCCTATATTTGTGTTGAATGTCATGTAGTAAGGCAATGTAAAGTTTGAGTTAAATTTGGAATAATAATAATAATTTTTGATGTACAATCTGTTTTTCAGCTCTAAATTAGAGCTCTAAATTAGAGCTGAAAAACAGATTTTCTACATTTTGAATATTCATTTGCAATTTAATACTTGCATAGTTCATTTTTATTATATCATTAGGACATTAAACTAATGGATAAATTATCAAATAAATGCTTAAAATCAACCTGATCAATAAATAGGTATTTTAATTTGTAAAATGCAGAAAGAAGCAATATACATAATTTACACACTAAATCATTGTAAGATGGAAGAAATTAGCTGGTAGTGAAAATACAAATTGCTGAGCATTATAAAATTGACATATTGATCTTATTAATCCAGTCTATCTCAGTATATTTAAATAATAGTGAAATTAAAAGCATATATCTTTTCTCACTTGAAATAAAATAAAACAAAATTATAAAATAAGTTCATACAATATTCAGGAATTATTCTTACATAAAATTATTCTCTTATTAACAAATTTAGAATGGTGGAATGGAACAAGAACTAGAAGAGTTAAAACTGGAAAAACAGCAGTTAAAACTACGTTGCCAAGAACAACAACGTCAGATAAGAGAACTCTCAGAACGTGTCAGGCTTCTTGAAAGGTCCAACAAACAACTGGAATTAGATAATGAAACATTAGCCTTTAAAGTAAATTATAATATTTAATTATATAAAATTTTAAATGTCATTATATTGACATTTTATGGCTATTTTTACATTAAATTTTTTTATTTAGCTTTCTGAAGCCTTATCTCAGTTTGATGATTTAGAAGACCAACTAAGGAAAGAGAAAACAAGAGTTAGAAGTGAGTAGAAAAATAGTAAATAAAACCATGGTATTAAAATCATATATAAAATATTGAAAAATCATTTGCAGGAGATTCTTTAGTTAAACAACTTTCTGCTCCTGAAAATCCCAGCAAAGGAGACAGTCTATATTCATTCTTAGATAACAGGACTTCTTCAGCTCAACATGTAAATAAAAACTATTGTAAATACATCTCTCTTCTGGAAAATTCGTAATATTTTTTCTTTATTTTATAGGAATTATCTTTTGTTGAACAAACTAGGAAATTGAAAACTGAATTAACAAAATTACAAGATCAACTTCTTATGACAAGTAATAAATTAGAAGCTGTTACAATGAAATATCAACAGAAAAAGACACGTCACAAAGATAGGGTGAGACAACTTAAGTAAGTAGTTTGAATCATTTTATTAAAATATATAATTTAGAAATGAAAAGTAAATTTTAACAAATAATACTTTTAAGTACATTTTTTTGTAGTAGTTATTTGAAATTGTTGGTTAACATATGCAGCTTACAACACAGATATATTTTTTGATTATATATACAGTAGGGCCTTGCCATACATGAGCAATACATTCCAAGATTTCTCACACATGTGAAAATTTGCATAAAATAGTGAACCCCATTAATTATTTAATATTTTTCATACTATTATACCTATCTCACATTTTTATATAAACAAGGCAAATAAACACTATATTAACAATAACTAGCATAATATTGTAAATCATAACCAAAATTTTTAAAAATTATTTTTTTATCTTCTCTCTCTCTCATGCTTGCAAAGTACTTTCATAAAAGAAATGAATTATAATAATGCTTTCTCAGAACAAGAATGAATGAGATGTTGTAAAACTTACATGCACCTTGGAAAATTACATAGTTAGTGTGCAATTGAGAATTCTTATTTTATAAATTTGTAATGTGAAAGTGTAAACCTGAAGTAATGGCAAGTCCACGTAAAGTTGGATCCTGCTGTATACACCTAATTCCTCATTTACACAGTACTCAAATTAGATTTTGGTTTAATATATTCAGAAAAATTCAACAGAAATTTAATAAAAAGATGGAAACTAGCCTTTATTTTTAATATATATATGTCTTGATTTTATATGGAACCAATCTACTGTGCACTGTGTAAGGAAAGAGCTGTGTGTATAAGTATACTGTAAAACAATAAGCAGTATATTTTTGAAAATAGAGATACATAGTTACTAGATAATTATATCTTTTTATTCATCATGTTTGGAATGAGATCAGATGAACTAATGTAATGAAATTTGGGAATGACTTCACAATATGCTGATGGCTGTTTTATGCAAAAAAAAATTTATTATCAGATATTAAATGAAACAATGGCTAGATTACTATATAATTTTAATAGATTGTAAATTCTTAATGAAGTTTAACTGTTAAAATTGAGTAATGCTACTGAGCTGCTCAAGAACACTATAATAAAAAATTTTTTTTATGAATCCTCGTCTTGGTTTTTGTGTGAACCTATATATGGAAAAGCACTTTATGCATTATATAGTAGTATTATTCCTCTTGTAACCAAAATTTCAACAAATTTTTTGCAAAATCATATATTTAGTCTGAGAAATTATTCTACTGTTCTCCAAATTTCATTAGTTATTTCATTCCAATTCATATTAATTAGTACCATTTGGGGAGATTTAAATTAATTAAATTAGATTTATCTACTTTAAGGATCATGATTATATTTGATGCAGTATATTAATTTAAGAATAAAATTGGAATAAAAAATTGCATATGTAATTTATTGAATTTATTTTAAAGGGACATTATAGAGAGAGAAAGACTTTGTTCAAGAGAGAAAATAGAAGAATTAAAACAGGAATTAAAACTTGTACAGCAGATGCTTAATCAAGAACAAGAATGGAAGAAGAAATTAGAGAAAAATTGTCAAAATTTACAGGATGAAAAAAGGCATTTATTAGTAAAGTATGCAAAATATATATTATATACACATACATACACTACTAACTTAATACATAAAAGTAATTATTTTAAATTGAATTACAGGTTAATAGAAAAAGACGAGGAATTGAAAGAGAGAATTGCATTTTCTTACATAATTCCGGAATGATAAGGAGTCAGCATTTCTTTTTTCCTCTCATCTTGACAGTATATAATTAACAATTCTATAGGTTCATATCAATTTTATAAACCTATATATTGTACATTGAATTTATATATATACATATTTATCTGTGTGTGACTGTGTATGTATATATGAACTTATAAATATTGTATATACATTCCTGAATTGTTTGAGAAAAGTGAGTCTGAATCTCACTCTAAAATGAACTTTCTCAAACTTTTCTTTGTTTTGGTTCAGTTTTGTGTTTTTATGTATATAAAACAGGAATTTAATTTTAGATTTTTAAAACCATTGGCCAAAGATTTTTTATAATACTCAGAGTATTTTTAGAAGTGATTTGATGCAGATGAGGATCTCTATCATAGATTTGAATTTTGTTTTTAAATATTTATGCTAGTCTTATTAATTAAACTAGACACACTGTGTTATTTATTGAAATTTACAAGGGAAAGTTAGTAATTAGGTTAAAGATAGACACTTGCCAAAATAGATAAAAGTTCTAACTTAGAATATTTAATTTTTTAATAAAATCCCCATAAACATTCAGGCACTTGCTCCAATGTTCTGCCAATTTCTGAATATATGCTGCATAAGCTTATTTGCTGTCACTGCAGTATATGTACCTGATTCTTCACTGCTTGAAAATGTTTGGCACTGCAGCATTCTTTTTAAAGGCCTGAAAAAATGGTAATTGCTCACTGTCAGATCCAAGCCACATATTTTTTTGGACCTTTAAACACTTGAGTGACTAATGTAATGTTCTTTGAGAAATGAAGAGACTCAGGAACTTTAGTAATTTCAACAGCAATCAACAAACTGTTATGCAGCATGTTTTCAGAAGCTGGCAGAATCTTGGGACAAGGGTCTAAATGTTAATGCTTATTAATAAAATCCCTAAAAATATTTCTAACATTGAGCATTTATTTTGGTGTCTGTTTGTAATATAATTATTGACTTTTTTCTTGTATTATTTGAAATTATTTATTGTGCAATATATCAAAATGACAGTTAATTCCTATATAATTTATATCTTGTATATACTGAGATGATGACAATGTTCTTCCAATGTGATCGTGATATTTTTAGTTTTATATCAGAGATGTTTTTAAATTGCACACTGTTATATTTATCTGGACATATTATTTTCTCAAAGTTTTTTTTTTTTTTCAAATGAGTTTATTATCTGTCCACAATTGAATCTATCAAAGTTCCATTCATCCCATACATTGTAAGATAATTTTTATCTCAATTTTTACATAGAAAGAAAGAAAAAGAAAGATTACAATTTGACAAAGCACAATTAATTATTTTTGTTATGTTAGTGCCATTACAGTTTATCATATTGGATGATCTGCAAATTTGCTTCAAATTTTTTAAAAAAATTTTTATTAAATACTTTTGTTGGGAAGACAACCAAAACTTAATTGCCTGTAATTCCGTCCATTACGAAGAACCTATTCTCAATAAAATATTCCAGTTTCTTTTTCTTTTCCTATTTTGGATCAAGAAACGAAATGTAAAATAGTTGTTAAGTATTTTAGAAATGATCTCATTGTTTTTATTCTATTAAAATTTCAAGAATTATTGTATTTAAGTAAATTTTTATAAAGTTTTTGTTGTTTTTCAAAAAAAACTAAAAAAATGTGAAATATGTATTTAAAAAAGTATATACATTATATATAGATATACATAATTATTTTTGTTGATTATATTATACTTGTAAACAATTCTACAATGACAATAAATTAGGTTTCATAAAATCTTTAGTGCCTTATTATTCATGAGATTTTAATGTTGTCATTAATGAATCCTATCAATTTTCTAATTAATTTAATTTAATTACTTTTGCATGTTATTGATTCACATTGTTAGTAGGTCTGTTTACAATGTACTTTCTACACAATTTTACAGAAGAATAAGAAAAATAAGTGTATTAAAATCAACCTTTTTTAAATAACACCTTCATTGTAATCAAATCTAGTAATAAATACAAAATATAAAAACTTTTCTGTATTCAAGTTAATTTAAAAATCAGATATATAAAGATTTTTATAAAGGAAATATTGCCATCAGTTTATTATGAAAAAAATGACTGAAAATATTTTAATTGTTTAACAGTCTTTATGTAAAACTTTATTCTAAAATAAACTATTGAAACAATATTAATGTTTAAATGAAGTTGCATCTACATTTGTTTTCTAATCTTTTATAAGAGTCAATTTTATTAGAGTTGCTAAAATACTGTTCCATTATAGAATACAGTTCAGAAATAATGGATGTTCTCAATACTAAAAATAAGATTTAAAAAAATCCAAGGGATTGGTGGGTGCCATACACAATTCTGAATGTTTTTGCCAGGAAAGTTATGCAACTCCTTATTGGATTTTATTTTGTATAAAAAAGCAAGCCTTCAATGTTGTTTTTCAATTACGAGATTATCTTTAATGAGACACTGGCTCTTTGCTGTACCACTAACTCAGAAAGGTCGAAAGTCACTGCTCTATTGACATTTTCCTACAGCAGACATAGCCTAAATACATTTTTAAAAAAAAAAGACAATACTATAATTTTGTTATTGAAACAAATTGTAGTATAAGAAACATTTTTTAAATCTTATTTAAATAAGATTGATTAACATTTCAAGATCATACAAAAGAAAGAAAATGACCATTTCTACATCAATATATTTCACATAATATGAACATTATTCACTTAAAAAAACATGAAAATGTTCAAATTTTTGGAATAAACATTTATTTACCACAAATTAGTTATGGGTTTCCTACATTTGATCTTGAACATAAGAGTAAAGTTTATTGCTAATTTTTTTTATAAGAAGTTTGCATTGGATTTTGCAATAAATTCAAATTTTAAAGCTTTGTTTTCTGAGACTAGTACCCAATTATTTTCTAGCTTTTCATGTACTAGTCTCAGAAAACAAAGCTTTAAAATTTGAATTTATTGCAAAATTACTCATTAGATTCCAGCTATTAATGGTGGCACTCCAATAAAACAGGATTTAGTTAATTTTATATATTTACCCAAATAGCTACCAAAGAAAAATTAAGTAACATTTGAAAAGAGTCCTACGTCAGATGCAAGTTCCTAAATACTTTAAAGATTTCTCTCAAAAGAACAAGTAGGAAGCATACAAAAATGCCTGAGTAAATATCAATTCTTTACAGAATTTTAATTTATTATCTGGAACAATTTTTATAATACAGTAATACAATTTATTTAAATTCAGAATACGTACTTATTAAAAATATAAATTCATTTTTACATTCATAAATAAAGATTTTTTATTTATATCCAAACAAAATGTTTACAGATAAATAATATTGGATTGATAATTCGACTATTCGATTGATGATAACGATTTTAATATGAAATAAATTGAAAGCAATCAATTTTTACGTGATTTCAATTAATATTTAATTTTATGAATTCGTTTTTCTAAAATAATTTTTAAATTGTATTTAAAAAGATAAGAGAATTTTTTTAGAGCCGAAGTCAAATACCTTGTGTAAGGTAACTGATTTTACCTTACACGCGTTTTCTACGTAAAAACCTGTGTAAATCAACAATTTTATTCGGGATACCATTTAGAATTTTCAATTTTGTTTTTCCTTTTCAAGTTTCATTAAAAGAGACGATAAACTTTTACGACGTCACATCCGGAATTACCGAAACGATGATTCAACGACAGTTTCGATGATGTCACTGTCGCACGTTCGTAACAATCGAACAATTGTTTTTAAAACACGATTTTTCTAATAAAACGAAATGCTACGATAATAAAAAAACGAACAACAAAATTGTTTTCACGCAGAAACTTCCCGTCTTCGTTTAAACGAATATTATTAAATTATTTATTTGCATCATCCAAATAATATCGCCGAAGCCTTTGTCTGCCTTAGAACGTGATTCAGACAGACAAAATTCTGACATTTACAAATTTTCCACACGTTTCCGTACTGTACAGTACATCCTGTTCGAAATTCACGTAATCCGGGATGCATTAAGAACCCTCCGAGCAATTTAATTCGCATGGTTTTTCGTATTGTTTTGTTCTTTAATTAATTAACTTTTTAAAATAAACCTCTCTCATTTATTATTAATTCCTCTCGTGTCCGTTTTCAATGTCATAAAAGAAATTATTCTTGTAATTACAAGAGAGAAATACAAAAACTTCTTTCAAAAAGATCTTTGTTAAATAATACGAATCAACCTTAAACTATTTTTTTTTTTATGTTACGGTAATTAGGCCTATATTAATTAAATCTAGTGTTTGTTCAATGGGCAACCGGATAATTACATAATGTACGCGTGCACACGTGGGTATTACATTCTTGTATCGTGACACATTCGAAACGTGTTTCCGATCGAAGTATACGGGAGAATTCCTTTGTTCTACACAAATTGAGAGAGAAATATCATATTTGGATGTTGACAAATTTCTCTTTTTTCTGCCTCATGGATAGTTTTAAGAGATTAAAAGTATTTGTGAAGAAATTCCTCGGGCAACGTTTTCCTTCCGTGCATACAAATAAAGATTGAAGAAGTTCGTCGATTAAGAGTAAAAAAAATCCGATCGATAAGCGCAAAAAATAGGTTTCCACAAACGTTTTTATTACAAATTTCATTTTCTCACCGTTTATAAGCGACGAATATGCGTGAAATTTTTATTGGTTTACCATTATATTTACTCAAATTTCGTATTTTATTTTAAATCATTTTTTTAATTTTTTTACAGTATTCGAGTGGAAATATTAAATATTTTTTTTTTTTTGCAAATTACTTAGCAGAAATGTTTTTCCACTGTTAAGCACGGATGTCAAATGACAAATTTAAATAATGAAGTCGGTAGAGACTTTGTAATTATTCGTAAAACTTTTGTTTGAATCCGACACGAAAACGCTCTTAGACCTGGAACGAAAGTTCGAGAGCGTTTATGTGTTACTTTAAATGGAAAAGTCGACAGTAAACTATGGTTAAAGGCTAAAAAAATAAACTACATTCCTTAAACATTAAATTTAAAAAAAAAAAAACGGAATTATGTTTCAATGAAGAAAATTCAACAGAGATTTCCACTACATAAATCGTATTAATCGTTCGTTTCGTGTGCGCACATTTTACATAATTATTGATGAAATATCCAATAGTTTACTCGATCTAATCCTGATTTTCAGTGTAAAATACCTTGAAGAAGAATGAATTCGAAAGCTCATAACACGCTAAGCATTGGTTTATTATTCTGCGATCCAAAGTCCCCTTTAACCCGTCTTCTTTTCGGATGTCTCCAATTCTTTCTTTCGTTCAGTAAGTACTATAATTTCCTTCCGTTCTGTCTCTATGTAGCTATTCCATCTTCTCCTTAGTCTACACCTATTCTTTCTCCTTTTGATTTTCTGCCTCCATCATCCTCTTATCCACATATTGTAATTGCGCCTCCAGTCATTCATCATAACATGGCCATATCATTGCAGTTTCTTCACCCGAATTCTTACTGACATTTCTATCAATTTCTAATCTTTCCAAATGTAAATTATTCATTTACTCTATCATTTAAGCTTTGATCCTGTTCCCGAAGAGGCCAAACTCGAGATAAAATGATTCTTCTGTTTTTGATCGTGATCTTGAAAGAGAAGTTACGCTTACATCCCGATTTTCAGATAGATTAGCCTTAAAATAACATTTTATTTTCAGTTTTAAAATTTGCAGAAAGGTTCTTGAAGCTTACAGATGATGAAATCGTATTTATTTGGCTTTCTGCCTTCTCATTATTTGGATAACAACATGGTCCTGCTCAAATGAATCAGGAATTTAGTGGCGTGCTTCTTTCCGTACATCCTTTTGCATTCGATATAGCAAGACAGACAAACAGACGGTCTCTTTGGCATATAGAAAAGAACATTTCATTCTTTGTAAAATGGGTAAAATAAATTATAGACAGTAGGAAGTCATTCGAGAAATTTTATTGGAAAAATGTAAGTTATTTTTGTATTTGTTCGATATTATAAGAGCATTTCGTGAGATGTGTTCATTAAAAAACATATCATTATTTTGAAAAAATAAAATATCTAAAATAAATACCGTGTTAAAGAATAAGAACAATAAATTTTTTTGTTTTTTAGAAAGGATATTTGATATAAATTGAGATTTATGCACTCCTTTTTTATCAACGATTGATGTCAGAGTTCATTGACATTTGCAATCAAAGGAAAAGGAGTGTCAAAAGGTGAATTTTTTTCCTTGTAAGCTTATTAAATTTAAAAAGAAAAAAAAATATGACGATTATTCGAATGTCTCTCTAGAAATTGGCTCTCTTGCAAAGTGATTTTAAATAATAACTCTTCAGAAGGCTCCGATCTCTTTAGTATAAGAATTCTTCACGTTGATTAACTGTTTTTCATGATCCACCTGAAGAACTCTTATACTATACAAAAAGTTCTTATATCTAACGAAAAGGCCTTATGACTCATATGAAAAGAACTCTTTGAATCTCTGTGCGTGTGACTCTTCCAGATGGCTCTATATTATAGTATTTCATTTCTTTAAATACCATATTATGATGCAATACCACTCGAACACCACAATATAAAGCCATTGAAATAACTTCGTGGATCTTGTATGGATCTCTCAAATAAAAATGTTTAAAACGGCTCTATTTTTAGCACTTGCTTGATTCTCTCAAACGAAATCCTTTACATTGAGCCATTTCAGACTTTCAATTCTAATTTACAAGTAGAATGGCAAAGAATTGATATAAAAAAAAAAAATAAATACTGTATTTAAATGAGGACAGACACACAGCTGCACTTGATACTTCTGTAACTCCTGACGAATAGAGAAGTGAATGAAGAGACTTTCGAGTGATGTTATTTCGAAAGTAATTTTTGTTTTAAAACTCACTCTTTCACTCGAGATTAGAAAAAGTTGAAGAGCACGTTTGGAAGTCTGT